CATGGAAAGGCAGGCTCTGGGAAAGAATGCGTTGCTAAAATCATTTGCCAGTCAAATGAACTGTTTCTCAACCTCTAGACAGAGGCGACCTCTGCTCTGCAATGTACTGCGTGGCCACCGACTCCCGCAGGGCCCTGCTGGGCTCCAGAAGGCCCTGGCTCCATTCCTGCCAGATGGCCCATGTCCCAGCAACTTCCCAGGGAGGGACACCAGGGCGGGGGCAAGGTGGGGCAGTGATACAACAATGCTTTATAAAATAAACATCCGAGTGCTTCTGCTTACTCCCAGGTGCCTTTGGGTTCCAACAAATACTTTTGGAGGTGCTCCGCTTCTCTGATGACGCCTGTGTTGCTCAGAGCAGGGAGAACCTCCCGGAAGCGCTCTGCTCCGGGGCTCATTGGATATCGGCGAAGATGGCACACTCTCTGCCTTATAGGGTGGGTCGAGTTGTTCGGAAACACCTAATAGAATTCAAGGGCAAGGCTAGAGTGTGGGTGTGTGATTGAGCTTCAGAACACTATTTTTGGTCCAGCATCCACATGTGATGAGTGTCCCATGACTGGTGCTCTTGACCAGATATCCTGAGTTCTGGCACCTTCACAGGATGAGTACTAACCACCCAAAGTCCCCAGGTGGCTGGATTTCTTTCTTTCTTTCTTTCTTTTTTAATTCTCACCTGAGGACATTTTTTCCATTTTTTGTTCAGATAGAGTGGGAGGTACATGCCCTTAGCGGGAACTGGACCTTTGGGTCTCTCTGGACCGTAGGCCGACACTCTAACCGCTGAGCCAAACCGGCCAGGGCAAAAGATAGTGGAGTTTTAAAATTATTTATTTATTTATTATCCTCACCCGAGGACTTTTTTTGCATTTATCTTCAGATAGAGCGGGAGGGAGGGAGAAGGGAAGCGAGAGAGAGGGACATCGATGTGAGAGACACACTGACGTTGCCACCCACACAACCCCAACCAGGGCCGGGGACAAACTGCAACCAAGGTACATGCCCTTAGCGGGAACCAAACTCAGGACATTCAGGTCCTCAGGCCGACACTCTAACCGCTGAGCCAAACCGGTCAGGGCCCCAGGTGGTTGGATTTCATGAGCCTCTCTCCATAGTCAACTCTTACTATGCTTCTGGGAAGAAGTCTGGTGTAGAATATGACCACAGACAGAACACCAACCCATTTTCCAGAAAGTTCTGAATGTCAAATATTCCAGTATTGATTACATAAATACACACATACATGATTGCTATCACCTGTTATTTAATTCTTTCCAGTAACTATGACTCCTTACATTTGTAATCACAATATACCTTTATAAGCCCTTTTGTGTAAATTAATTAATTAAGAAATCACCTTCTTCGTCAGATGTGTGTCCTCATGTTTGGTACAGAAAATGTGGTCAGCAGATTTACACGGACCTCTCTTTGTAAAAGAAGTCAGAGATTCTTAGGTCTCTGCAAGAGCCTCGCTTTTCAATCCAGTCCGATCAAGCCATAGGCATTTGCAGAAAAGTCCTGAGAGCCAGAGAGGGGAAGCGAATCCGGAGGCTTCATAATGAGTCAGGTGCGGAGTAAAGCTTTAAATGCAGTGGGTCCTGGAACTTAGGTGGGGTGACTAAGGATGCACATCTTATTGGCAATATCTAATGTGCCTTTTTTTTTTTTTTTTTTATCCTCACCCGAGGATATTTTTCCATTTTTTGTACAGATAGAGTGGGAGGGAGAGAGAGGAAGGGAGAGAGAGAGAGAAACATCGACGTGAAGGGACACATCGAGTGGCTGCCACCCGCACGACCAACCAGGGCCGGGGACAAACTGCAACCGAAGTACGTGCCCTTAGCGGGAACCGAACCTGGGTCTCTCCGGACCGCAGGCCGACGCTCTAACGGCTGAGCCAAACTGGCCAGGGCTAATGTGCCTTTTGATGTTTTTATTCACTTCCTTTACTGCTTCTGCACCAAACGCAAAAACCTCATCTCCAAATCAGGGCAGCTTCTGTGTTAGGCACCAGAGTTTACAAGGATCTGCTGCTTTCTCTGTAAGGAAAAAATAGTAAGGGAGAGGATAAGGTGGACTGGAAATCTGCAGAAGGGCATTAATACAATGCGTTTGAGTAAGGCCAGGTTTAGTCATCACAGGTTTGCATTCTCAAATCCTGGTTAGTAACCAGATTTAATGACTCAGGCCCTGCTGACTCCCAGACCCATGGCCTCTCAGAGTCTGCCCACAGGCAGCAGGGCCGGCACTTGCGGAAGCAGCCTCTCCTCCTTCCCTTGCCTCTCTTTCCCCATCTGGGTCTGGCCTGGCCTCCCCAGAGCAGAGGGGAGCACATGGGGAGGAGTTAGCATGTTGGGGGTGGGTTTGCCAGACCACCTGGTTCCTAAATCAAGAACTTAGAATCTGCCTTCCTGCTGCTATTTCTAAATTAAAAATAAAATCACAGAACTAAACTGAAAAGGCCCCTAGATTTGGCCCAAACTCTTCCCTTGATGGCTGGGGAAGCAGAGGCTCACCGAGTGTCAGGAAGGTGGTCATGGTCACACAGCAGCAAGCTGCTGGCAGGACAGGGACTAGCTGTCCTTCCTCCATGCCAGACTGCTTCCAGGGTCCCAAACACTGCGCCATCTGGCCCCTCTGCTGGGAGGAGGCACAGAGCAAGGCAGTGTTGCCTCCCAGTGATTGGTTGATGGATGTACCACAAGAAGCTGGGCAGTGTGGACAGTGCTTGCCTCCTGGAGACTTTCAGAGTGAGAGGAAAACTCGGTGTCTTGTAACAAAATGGTTTCCTCAGAGAAGGGGAATAAATCCCAGGGACAAATCCCACAGTGCTCACACGAGTCAAAGCTTCCCATTTAGCAGCTGGGGCTGTAACGTCCTCTGATGGGGGTGTTAATCACAACTGTCCTCAGGAGTTAAGTTTATTAGGGTGGAGATAAATCCCCTCTCCCTCACCCTAATGCTTAGTTCTTGATGCTCCAGGAAGTTAGATCATTCATCCATTTATTCAACAAGTATCCACCCACTATGCCCTGGGGCCTAGAGCCTAGGGTACCAGGCCTGCAGATCAGTACAAAAGAGGTTTCTCAAAATTCCACAGGGTTTTGTAGCTGTCAGGATCCTTGGGTTATCTCCTCCAGCCTCCTCTGAAGCCCAGGGAAGGAGGTTATTTACTCAGATTACACAGCAATTTGGGGCCAGGGCTGGGCTACAGCACAGAGCAGGATCCTCCAGGGTCCCTCTGCACCCACAGCTTGGCCAAGGCTAGTTTTACATGTTGTTTAACTCTTAGCCGCAGCCCTCAGGTTGGTCACAACCCCACACTCTGGGTGGAACATAATCGTGTGCTGGACTTTGTCTTCAAGGGAAGGAATGGTAAAACGAAAAGAAAAGTCCCAAGTTCTTTCAGCCCTTCCCTGGGGCCAGCCATGGGGGTGGTGCACACACCCAGAGAGGTGCAGTCCTCCAGTGGTGTTACCAGACTCAAGGGGTTCACACCTTGGGGTGACCTATTAAAAAACTAGAAATGGTTGTCACGAGGTTAATTTTATTTACTTGCACCAAGGAGAGGGGTTCACATCCAAAGCTCTGCCTTCCTGAAGGGAGGCTTAGCCATTGCTTAGACAGTTATTGGTCAATTACATGTTGATTTCTTCTTTGCAGCTGGCAACACACGGCTACACTTACCAGGTTGGGTTCCCTCAAGCTGATCCTGTTTAAGGCTGGACTGCAAAGTACTGGGCTACATTTTAACATTGAGCAAGAACAGCATTTAGTAGGAATGGCCCAGACCTTGAGACTCTTGTCCTATCCAGCACGGGAGGTATTGTATTGGCTCCGCTCTTAGGGACAACCAACTTCCTACCAGGCTTTGCCAGCATAGACCTTGTCGGTGTGTTGGGGCTTAAATATTTAACTCTCCAAGCGGCAATCGCAGCTGCCCTTAAAGGTGTCTAGTCAGTGAGGGGTGCCATCCAGATGGCAAAAGGCAGTGGAGACTTCAGTGCTTTGCGACCCGTCACCTCCTGCAAGCCCTTCCCAATGCCCCTGGCCCAGCATCTGGGCTCATCAGGAGCAACGCTGTGCCTCCGCGTGTCCACTGCCACCTGCCACCCAGCGGGAAGCCACCCGGAGGCTTTCGACGTGGTTCCTGGCGCAGGGGCTCGGGGCCGCTCGCAGAGGTGACCTGCCTGTGCCCCCCGCACACCCCTACCCCTGCCCCTGCCCCTGCCGAGTGGCGCCAGACGCATTTCCCGGTCCCTTCCACGGGGATGGAGGCGGAGGCGTCCACGTGGCCCGCTCGCGCCCGATTTCCTCCCTCTGCCCAAAGGCACTCGGCATTTAATGCCAAGCGGAAGACAGCTTTGCGTGGCGCGGACGCCGGGAGTCGGAGGCGGTCAGCGGCAGGTTTCGCAATCCTGCGGCGGCGGCGGCGGCGGCCCTTGGCCCGAAGCTGAAGGCCGAGCCAGCAGCGCCGCCGGCGCCCGGCACCGCGCGGGAGGCAGCGCCCGCGGGGCCCCTGCGGTTGCGTGCGCGTGCGCGGGCCTGCCGCAGGGCCGAGCGGCGCGAGGCCGGCGGCGGGGGAGGGGCCTGCGGTGGCGTGCGCGTGCGCGGACCTGCCGCAGGGCCGAGAAGGGCGGGAGGGGCCTGCGGTGGCGTGCGCGTGCGCGGACCTGCCGCAGGGCCGAGAAGGGCGGGAGGCCGGGGGCGGACCGGGCGGTACTGGGAGGCGCTGACGTTGAGCCGCCCGCGCCCCCCGCCTCTCCGCCGGGCCCCGGTTGGCCGCCGCCGCCGCGCCCCGCCCCCTCCCTCGGAAGACGCCCGGACGGAACCGATCGCGGCTGGTTTGAGCTGGTGCGTCTCCATGACGACACGCGCGGCGCTATAAGTAGCGGAGCCGCGGCGCGTCGGGCTTTGTCAGTCCCCTCCGCCTCCGCCGCCGCCGCCCCGGCCCCTCTGCCTGCGCTCCGGCGCCACCTCGGGCCGGCGGTCCTCCGCGGGAGGGAGCGAGGCGGCGGGCGGCTGACGGGGCGGCCGGCGGGCCTGAGCGCTCGGCTGCGGCGGCGTCTCCATGGGGTCGGCGTGAAGCGGTCCTGCGCCCCGAGGTGAGGGGGCGCGTGCGGGCGGCGGGGAGGCCGGCGGGGCTCGGCCACGTGTCCTGCGCGCCGGCGGGCCCGGAGGCCGGGACCGACCCGCGCCCGGACCCGCGAGGGGCACGCGGTCGTAGAGCCGGCCGCCGGCCCCTGACCTTGGCGAGCCGCTGCCCTCGGCGCCCCGGGCTCCCCGACGGAGCGGGGGGCTGGCCCGCGGCCGTCCCGGCCTTGGGCAGCGGGGCCCCCGCGCCTCGGCTCCCCGGCACCACTGACGTGGGGTTCAGAGCCGGAAGCTGATGGGAAGGCCCGTTGGTTCCTTCAACGGCCGTTGTTTTTTTTTATCCACGTGGCAAGCCGGGTAGCAGGTGCAGGAGACGCGTGAACGAGCCCGTGCAGGTCGGGCTGAGTCGCTCGCTCGCCGCTGCAGGGATGACTACTTTCTGCCTTGTTGCCCTCGACTGTAGTTTTAGGCTTGGTTGGTTGGTTGGTTGGTTGGTTGGTTGGGTTTTTTGCTGTGTGTAGGGAGCAAGTGACCCGACCAGGAACCCGGAGGAGTTGCTGGAGCGATAATCCATACGCGGCCAGCCCTGGCTTGGAATCGCCTATTTAGGGAATCTTTGAATGACTTGGTGATTTTAGAAAAGCCTGTAATGTTAGGATCCAGTTTAGGGACAGAGTTCTATGTAGAAGCCAACCCCAAGGTTTTTTAATAGTAAAAAAAAAAAAAAGGTAATTGTGTTGACAATCCTAAGTAATTGGTGAGAGAGTGTGGGGAGCAATAGGAATGTCTGGGGAGAACAAAGAATGTCTTGACTTTGTTCGAACCTAAAATTGGGCAGAATTTAGTTGACTTGTGAATTGTTGCCATTTCTGTTTCAGTCAGCCCCTATCTTTTATAATTACCCACTTGGCAGCAAAGACTTTCATACAGAAAAGGGCTGTCTTGTGCTAATTGACTCAGGTTTTTAAGGAACTTAGCTATTCAGAACACCAGAAGGTGTTGTGCTTGGGTGAAATTTTTCTATCCCTAGTTAACTCAAACAAAGCTTAAAAAAATACAGGAACACAAAATAGTTCATAGCGATTTATTTAAAAGAACCTTCCTGGTTTAAACCGGAGCATTGCCTTAAAGGTATTTAACCAGACCCTAATTAATCCAATCTGTCACCACTTCAGCCTAGTGAGATGTTATTTATGTAGGCAAAATGAATTTGCTGGCCTTGATCTATTGCCTTGCCCCAGGGGTGATTCAGGAGGTTGACAATGCCAAAAAGTCACATTAGTTCAAGTCTCGAAACAAGTTCTACCGTGCATGGGTTTATGGCGGCCCGTGCGCCTGGGTCTCCCCTAGCACCCATACCAGAGCAAACTGGCCTTGCACCACTGCCTGGCCTCTGCCCACAGGCTGCAAGCGCCGAGGCAGGGTACACGGTGGGAAAGTAGGCTTTGCCTGGCAGAGATTAAGTAGGTTTAAATAAGTACTTTTAAGATGTCATTCACTACTGTCATATTTTATGAAGGCCAAGGACAGTGGCTCTGATGGTTTCAAGTTTTTTTGTTTACTCGGTCATTTATGCTTGCTTATTTTTATTATAAAGTTTGCCCCAAATTACTCTCATTTGGTGATCATTTATAGCTAAGCAAATATTAGAGTGTCCGTTGGATTCCCAGAATTGCCAATTTAGTAGGCAACGCTAGTCCAAGAAGGCTGACTTCTGATCAGATACAGCAGCTATAGTGCATTATGTTGATTTGAAGATGCAGTTTTTAAAAATACAAGCCCAGCATGAAGATAAAGTTAGTTCATAAAATTCTCAGGAAACTTTAGAGCACTCAGTACGTTGAGAAAGCCCTAGACATTTCCATGATGTGTGTTAGTTACTAAAAATGATTCTGTATAATTTCAAGTGCGTACTGAGATGTAGAACACTATGTATGTATGGAATTTATCTGAGGTGTGGAGTCTGGTGTCTTCAGATGGTGCAGGGTTGTGAATTCATGTGACTTAGACGCCCAGGAATAATGGGATTCCCAAACCCAGAGAGCTGTGAGGTGCCTAAGCAGCCCTGCTTCTGGGTGGGCACAGCTAGGGCTGGTGTGTCCATTGCTGCATTCCTAAGGTGGACAGCACATCTGTTATTAGGACATTCCCACTGCTGCACCAAGAGGACACCCATCTTTTGCTGGACTTGGAATTCCTAGAGAGCTACTTTTGTGAAAAGTTGGCAATAATTTATTTAGATTCCATCTTAGTTTTCCCTGTAAGTATGCATGACTTTGCAGGTTAATCTAGTTAAGAGTTACTAAGAATTTCTAAGGCTTCTGAGTAAACTTTGCCACCTTATTTTTTGCGTTGCAGTTCGTTGTGTTTCAGAAGATCATCCAGAAACCATGAACAGCATTTGTCATGAAGAGTTTGACTGCCATTTCCTCGATGAGGGCTTTACCGCCAAGGACATTCTGGACCAAAAAATCAATGAAGTCTCTTCTTCCGTAAGTATATCAAGTCCATGCTGGCGGTGTCACTGGGACAGTGCCAGGTGCCTGAAGGGGGAACTTCAGTGGGGTCTAAGGAAGTGTAATGGAATTTACATGTCTTGTTAGGGAATTTAGAATATAGTTGACTGTGTGGATTGTCCAGCAATTATAGTAATAATCATGTCGGTGACTGGACTAAAAAGTAAAAAGATTCATTGAACTTCATGGGAAAGAGAAGGGAGGCTGTGGCTGGACATAGGAAGGCTGCTAACAAGGTCCCTGCAACCTCTCCTACTGTAGGATGATAAGGATGCCTTCTATGTTGCGGACTTGGGAGACATTCTGAAGAAACATCTGAAATGGTTGAAGGCTCTTCCTCGGGTCACCCCCTTTTATGCAGTCAAATGCAATGACAGCAGAACCATAGTGAAGACCCTGGCTGCTGCTGGGACGGGATTTGACTGTGCTAGCAAGGTAAGCACAGAGCAGCAGTGGGTTCTGTGAAATGGCTGGGCACAGTGAAGTCATGTTTCTTGGGCAGTAGATATTAAGGGGAGGGGAGCTGTGGTTGATGACTGCCTGTTTCTTTCGTTAGTAGCTACATGTGTATAGTGTGACGTCTTCTTTTTCAGACTGAAATACAACTGGTGCAGAGTCTTGGGGTGCCTCCAGAGAGGATTATCTATGCAAATCCTTGTAAACAAGTGTCTCAGATTAAATATGCTGCCAATAATGGAGTCCAGATGATGACTTTCGATAGTGAAGTCGAGCTGATGAAAGTTGCCAGGGCACATCCAAAGGCAAAGTGAGTTGCTCTTTCGTGTGAGGGCAAGGTTGAACATGGGATCTGTACATTGTCAAACTCAAGTTTCCCGTTGCTAGATTTCTATACTTTAATCAGTTATCCGTGTGCTGGGTCAGAGAACAAGTAGAAAATAGCTTAAACCTCTTCCAGGTTGGTATTGCGGATTGCCACGGATGATTCCAAAGCAGTCTGTCGTCTCAGCGTTAAATTCGGGGCCACACTCAAAACCAGCAGGCTTCTTTTGGAACGGGCGAAAGAGCTGAACATTGATGTCATCGGTGTCAGGTGAGTGAGGCCTTGGTGGGGGGAGAGGCTAAGATAATCACAGACGATGCCAGTTTCACGGGGTTTCTTTTCCCCACTGTAAATAATCATCTTCAGAAATAAGAAATGGCGTGTTTTTGTCTTTCTTGCCCAGCTTCCACGTGGGCAGTGGCTGTGCCGATCCCGAGGCCTTTGTGCAGGCCATCGCCGATGCCCGCTGTGTCTTTGACATGGGGGTGAGTGCGGGTAGACCCCAGTGTGGTGGGGGCGGGGCCGACAGGAATAGTCTCCATTCTAGGATCAGCCCTTTGTAGAAGTCATCTCATATGCAGAGACTTCAACCCACCTACTGTGCATTTTTCATGACTTGTTATAAATCTGGCTATTTGATTGACTTAATTTTCTTGACTCCAGGCCGAGGTTGGTTTCAACATGTATCTGCTGGATATTGGTGGTGGCTTTCCTGGATCTGAGGATGTAAAGCTTAAATTCGAAGAGGTAATTCATAGAACTATAATGTACGGTAGCTGCTTTAGCAAGGCTCTTAGTGGGATTTTTTTTTTTTTTTTGAGATAAGTGCCCCTAGCGGGAATTCTCTGGTCCGCAGGCCGATGCTCCAACCGCTGACCCAAACCAGTCAGAGCTTAGTGGGACATTTTAAAACTTAATTTAAGTGTTTTAGCTGATATCAGAAGGGATTGTACAAATATGAAAATGTCTTAGTGTGATCTTTTGAATGACTTTTGTGCTATTTAAAATTGTACTTAATATCCTTTGGTTTTCTAAACTAAAACATAAGTCAGTTTCCTAAAAAGTCGGGAAACAATTGATGAAGAAATGTTGATGTAGTAATGAGAGAATATACTGACAGGAAGTCCTCACTTACTGTCATCAGGAGGTCCTGTGACCTTAAATGAAACAACTTTTAACTAAACCAGTTTTACTATAGGCTAATTGATATAAACAGGAGTTCAGTTCCTGTAGCTGCTTATCAATATTATAGTGAAATGACAACATTTGAACAAAGTGACGTAATTGGAGGACCTGCTATACATCCTTATACCAAATGGTGCTTTGCTAGAATTTGTATTTTCTCTCATTAAAATGTTAAGTGTTTAGTCACTAATGAAGCTAAGACATTAAACTGTGCTCAAGTTTATAAGATAGAGATGCACATTTTTTTTAAATTATGTGAGGTTGCCCTGGCCAGTTTGGCTTAGTGGTTAGAGCATCGGCCCATGGACCAAAGAGCCTCGGGTTTGATTCTGGTCAAGGGCACGTACCTCGGTTGTGGTTCGTTCCCTGGCCCTGGGCAGGGTTGTGTGGGAGGCGGCCAGTTGATGTGCATCTCTCACATCGATGTTTCTCCCTCTCCCTCCCTCTATCCCCTTCCCTCTCTCTCCCTCTCTTCCACTCTGTCTGAAGATCAATGGAAAAATATCCTCGGGTGAGGATTAAAAGAAATAATAATAAAATTATGTGAGGTTGACAGAAGAAAGTTTAATACTATTGGCGTGTATTTGCTAGATAAAAATATTTTGGGGCACTTTGATACTTCATTAATGGCAATTTGTTTTGTACTCTTTGTTTGATAAAATTGTACCCACAGCCTCTTAAAGGGGATAGAAAGGATATGCTGTGGGGAGTCAAAGTAAACCACAGGGATACGCACGGACTGGTTTTTCTTTTCTTCTTTTTTTTGTTAATCCTCATCCAAGAATGTATTTTTCCATAGAGTGGAAGAGGGAGGGAGAGAGAGAGAGAGAGAAACATCGATTGGTTGCTTCCTGCACAACCCCAACTGGGGCCAGGAATCGAACCTGTGACCCTTTGATCTGCTGAGCCAAACCAGCCAGGGAACACAGGCTAGTTTTTACAGATGTTTATTTTCTGCTGTTGCTTGATAAGACCCTCTGCTGCTGGCGCTCAACATAATAAAAACATTTATGTCACAGCAATGCTCTTTCTCCTCCACGTGGCTCCCCTTGATGGGTGACTACTGTCTGTCCACTCTCATAGATCACCTGTGTAATCAACCCAGCCCTGGACAAGTATTTTCCATCAGACTCGGGAGTGACAGTCATAGCTGAGCCAGGAAGATACTATGTTGCATCAGCTTTCACACTTGCAGTTAATATCATTGCCAAAAAACTGGTGTTAAAGGAACAAACAGGCTCTGATGGTGAGTATAAAGGATGAACTCATTACACATATAACCAAAAGCTGGTACAAAGGGTGGTAATTGAGACTAATCTGTTTTCTAGATGAAGAAGAGTCGAGCGAAAAAACCTTTATGTATTACGTGAATGATGGAGTATATGGATCATTTAATTGCATTCTCTACGATCATGCGCATGTGAAGCCCCTTCTGCAAAAGGTACCTTCTGATTATTATACTGTGTATAAGTGGCAAAATGGTTGGTTGTAACCGGTGTGACTAGATACATTTCTCTCCGATGTAGAGGCCGAAGCCAGATGAGAAGTATTATTCATCCAGCATATGGGGACCAACCTGTGACGGCCTCGATCGCATTGTGGAGCGCTGTGGCCTGCCCGAGATGCATGTGGGGGACTGGATGCTCTTTGAGAACATGGGTGCTTACACCGTTGCTGCTGCTTCTACTTTCAATGGATTCCAGAGGCCGACTATCTACTATGTGATGTCAGGGCCGACATGGTTAGTGACAGTGCGTGTGTGTGAGCCTCGTAAGAGACCTCGGCTTGCTCCCTTCCAGGAGCCCTGTGCCTTTCACTTCCTCTCCTTCGCCTACGGGCAGGCCTCTCCCGAACCCCGAGGGTCCCTATGAGACTTAACCAGGGGAGCACCCGGCAGCTTGTCCTGGGCTAACCCTGTGTGTCTGTCCACAAGGCCCCCTTTTCTCTGACTTCTCAGGGAGCCAGAGCAGCCCCGCCTAGGCCCTCCTGCTGAATCTGCTGTCCTGAGCCCTTGTTTCACTGTCCCCAGCTTTAAGAAATGTACTTTTTAAGAAAATAGATACCTTCTTGGATTTATGCTTGCTCTTACCTTATTCTAATGGAAAGAAATTGTTTTGTTTAGGATTAAATACAATGTTTTGGTGGGTTTTTTTAGTTTATTTTCTCCCCACATTAAGAATATATGCTCTCTCTGTCCGGCTGGTGTAGCTCAGTGGTTGAGCGTCGACCCATGCACCAAGAGGTCACTGGTTCGATTCCTGGCCAGGACACATGCCCAGGTTGTGGGCCCGATCCCCAGTGGTGGGGGGGGGGATGCAATAGGCGACCAGCCAATCAATGTTCTCTCTCATCGATGTTTCTCTCCTTACTTTCTTTCTCTAAAATCAATAAAAGGAAAAAAAAATTTTTAAAGAATATATGCTCTAGAAAATTTGGAAAATACAAGTGGGTGGAATATTCTCCAATAATAATAGTGGTTGGGATTTTCAGATTTTTCCTGATACATAACCATTTTAGAAAAGACTGGTTAAGATACTTCTCTGGAGCAAGAATATTTTAATGAGTGCATGTGACCTGTGGTCTCCTTATCACCAAAAAGGTGGTTCTGAAGAGATGCTTGCTCTAGAAATACTGCATTGCTTCCTCGTGGCATGGTAACCGAGGAAGTAAATAGGCTCATGAATAAGCTATTCAAGACTCTCGGTGAGGGCGACTCGGTTTCTGAACGTGCACTTCTCTCTCTCAGGCAACTGATGCAGCAAGTCCAGGACCAAGACTTCCCGCCAGAGGTGGAGGAGCAGGGTGTGGGCGCCCTGCCCGTGTCCTGCGCCTGGGAGAGCGGGATGAAGCGCCACCCGGCGGCCTGCGCTTCGGCTCATGTTAATGTGTAGATGCCACTCTTGTAGCTGTTTGCGAGTGTAGCTTGACCTAAGGGATTTGGGGGGATTGTGTAACTTAATTATTGCTAGTTTTGAAATGTCTTTGTAAGTAGGGTTGGCACAGATGAACCAATGTGGAATGGCGGGCGATGGGGTCACACTTACCTGTGTTCCTATGGAAACTATTTGAATATTTGTTTTATATGGATTTTTATTCACTTTTCAAACATGCTCCTACAGAGCGCCCCTCAGTGGCCCAGCGAGCATCTGGAGCTTGTACATTGGCAGAGCAGGCCAGAACCTCAGAACCTTAATGTACCCTGTTTTAAAAATAAAAGTACCTTGAAAATTAGGCATTGGGAAACTTGTAGTGTGTCCATTCCACAGGCTCGCCTTGCATGGGTTTTTACAAGTGGGAATTGGTTTATTTCCCCAAAGGCTGAGAACACTGTCCCAGGGGACTTAAGAGTTGGTGGTTTTTTGTTGCTTTGAAACTGCTAGGACGTGCCTTTTCCTGTTGGGCGTTTTTATTTCAAGTCAGTCCTGTGTAAAGTTCGCTGCGGATTCTCCCAAGGAACAGTAGATGAAGCCCGTGCAGGTGGGGGGGGCGGGCATACCCTCTGCTGCTGACTGTGGTCAGTGTCTGTCCTAGCGGTGGCCCATCCCGAGTGTCCACGGTGGCTGTGACGCGGACTGCCCGAGCCCCTGTAACCTGCCTGCTGCCATCGCAGCCAGTGCCCGGGGGAGGAGCATGCGGACCTGGAGCCTGCCCACGGAGACCGGGGGCGCCCTTCCCACCGGGACTCCACTCCCGGGACAGGTTGCATAGCTGAGTCGGGAATGTAATACAGCATTTGGCAGTCAACTTATTGTAATAAATTCAGCAGCAATTATTCTGCGTTGTAGATCATTGTTGTTTTTTTTTCAATCCTCACCAAAGGATATTTTCCTGTTTCTCTTCACATAGACTAGGAGGTGGGGGGAAAGAGAGAAACATTGACTGGTTGCCTTCCACATGACCCCAACCAGGCTCAGGGATGAACTGCAACCAAGGCCCATACCCTTGGCCGGAATCGAACCCACCACTTGTTGGCCCTCAGGTCGATGCTCTAACCGCTGAGCATGACTAGCCAGGGCTGTGTTGTAGGTCTTTACCTTCTTTCTGACCCTTACTCCCCCCACAAATAACAAGCTATCATACTACCTCACCCCCACAGTGGGAATTTTGAATCTCGGAAGTAGCAGGCAGGAAGGCCGTGTCAGCCAGAGGTCACTCTAGAAAGCCACTTCTGGATGCCAGTCCCGTCTTGCCACTTCCTTGGCGGGATGTGGGAAGGCAGTAAGTGGCACGGATGGGGATGCCAGGGCTCATCGGGACTGAGCGAAGCCCTCGGCTTCAAAGGAGGTGAGGGGAGTGACTTCCCGGGCTCCAGGGGGCAGACCGTGCATTGTGATCGCAGGTTACCTCTTCCCTGGCTGCTCGACCAGACTAGGACTCGGCCTGTCCAGCTCTGGTCTCCCTTCTTGGACCCAAGAACATGACTCAGTTGCCAGAACATGACCAGTAGGACTTAGCAGCCATAAAGAGAGTAGGTTCTTCCTGGAAGTGAGAGACAACAGTAGTCAGCAGTCTACGGCACATCCTGTGAAGCACATCCTGTTCTTGGTGCTCGGGGCCTGGTGCCCACTCCTAGTGCTCAAAGAAATTAGCATTATTCCCAAAATGTGAGCTAGACACCAAGCCTAAGATCTTCATAAGTCAGGCCGTTGACGTCAAAAGGAGTGCAATTAAGAATCAGGGAGCACCTTAAGATGCAGCTTGCAGCCTGACCGGTGGCTCAGTGGTTGAGCATCGACCAACCCATGCACCAGAAGGTCCCTGGTTCGATTCCCGGTTAGGGCACATGCCCAGGTTGTGGGCCTGATCCCCAGTGGGGGGTGTGCAGGAGGTGGTTGATAAATGTTCTCTCTTGTCAATGTTTCTATCTTTCTCCCTCTCTAAAAATCAATTTTAGAAAAAGAAAGTGGGCAAGACATGAACAGGTTCAGAGAAAAGAAAAAGCCTTTTAAACATGGTATTCTCAAACATATTTAAACCGTAAGAGTCTTGTGACCCCATCAAACTAAAAAGCTGCTGCACAGCAAAATAAACAGTGATAAAACAACCTATAAAAGAGATTTTACGAATCATGTATCTGATAAGTGGTTAATAGCCAAATATGAAGAACTCAACAGACCTCAATAATAAAAAGGAAAAAAATACAAATGGCCAAGAGGTACATGAAAGGCGTTCAGCATCATTCACCTTGAGGGAAATGCCAATTGAAACCACAATGCGATACCACCTCATGTTAGAATGGGTATTATCAAAAAGACAATATAGCCCTGGCCCGTTTGGCTCAGCGGTTAGAGCATCGGCCTGCGGTCCAGAGAGACCTGGGTTCGGTTCCCGCTAAGGGTGCATACCTCGGCTGCAGTTTGGCCCTGGCCCTGGCCCTGGTTGGGTTGTGTGGATGGCAGCCACTTGATGTGTCCCTTTCACATCGATGTTTCCCTCTCTTGCTCTCTCTTCCTCCTACTCTATCTGAATAAAAAATGGAAAAATGTCCTCGGGTGAGGATGAAAAAATAAAATAAAATAAAAAAAGACAATATATATTGCCCTGGCCGGTTTGGTACAGCGGTTAGAGCATCAGCCTGCGGTCCAGAGAGACCCAGGTTCGGTTCCCGCTAAGGGTGCATACCTCGGCTGCAGTTTGTCCCCGGCTCTGGCCCTGGTTAGGTTGTGCGGGTGGCAGCCACTCGATGTGTCCCTTTCACGTCGATGTTTCTCTCTCTCTCCCTCTCTCTTCCTCCCACTCTATGTGAACAAAAAATGGAAAAATGTCCTCGGGTGAGGGTGAGGATTAAATAAATAAATACTTAAAAAAAAAAAGACAATATATAGCCCAGCCAGTGTGGCTCAGTGGTTGAGCATCGACCCATGCACCAAGAGGTCCCCAGTTCAATTCCCAGTCAGGGCACATGCCCAGGTTGTGGGCCCGATCCTCAGTGGGGTTGCATGCAGGAGGTGGCCAGTCAATGTTCTCTCTCATCGATGTTACTATTTCTTCCTCTCCCTGATTTTTTCTTCCTCTCCCTTCCTCTCTAAAAATCAATAAAGAAAAAAAAAAAGAATATATATATATGTTGGCAAGAATGAGGAGAAGAGAGATTGGTTGTACACTGTTAGTGGGAATGTGGATTGTCTTGGCTACTGTGGCAAACACTTCTGGATTATATCTGAAGGGAGTTAACTCACTTTCCATGGCTTCGGTTATCGTGGTCAGAAAAGTGTTAAATGGAAATGTACAGAAATAAACAATTCATAAGTTCTACGTTTCCTGTTGTCCTGAGTAGCGTGATGAATCTTGCACCATGCCATCCGTTTCTCCCTGGGACATGAAGTGTCCCTCCATGACCTCCATGTCCGGCACCTCCATGACGTATGCGGTAGACGCTTCCCGCCTGGTAGTCACTTAGCCGTGCTGGTTGTCAGATTGACTCCTGGTGTCACGGGGCATGTGGACAAGTCACACTTATTTTACTTAATAATGGCCCCAAAGCCATTCACATAACTTTTATTACATTAAATGATAATTGTTTTAGTTTATTATTAGTTATTGTTCATCTCTTCACCTAATTTATAACTTAAACTTTATAATAAGTCTGTATGTAGAGGGAAAAACAGTCTCTCTAGGGTTCGGTGCTATGTGGTTTCAGGCATCTACTGGGGCTCTTGGAATGTCTCCCCTGCCTATAAGGCAGGTTAGTATGTATTTTCTTTTTTTATTTTATTTTTTAATCCTCACCCGAGGATATTTTTCCATTTTTTGTACAGATAGAGTGGGAGGGAGAGAGAGGAAGAGAGAGAGAGTGAGAGAAACATCGACGTGAAGGGACACATCGAGTGGCTGCCACCCGCACGACCAACCAGGGCCGGGGACAAACTGCAACCGAAGTACGTGCCCTTAGCGGGAACCGAACCTGGGTCTCTCCAGACCGCAGGCCAACGCTCTAACCGCTGAGCCAAACCGGCCAGGGCGGTTAGTATGTATTTTCTGAGCGCTCTGCATTCTGAGGCAATTGAAGTCAATAGAGTTTATTTTAATAGAGGATTTAAAATTTTCAGGCATAGTAATTGTAATAAACTCAATAATGGGCTCTCGTCTCTATGTAGCTGTTCTTATATGTAGCGTTATTATATGAAGTTATTCCATATCTCAGTCTATAAAATCCAACCACTGGAGAGTTGAAGTCAGTTCCCTTGTTTACGTATTGAGAGAGCACTGCTGGTCACTTAGTAGCCGTGCAACCCTTTGAGTAACACCATGCAAACAAGGATCATCGTGCCAAAAGGCTGCTTCTGGCCGGGGCAGGTGCACAGAGCAGTGTCTGCAGGGGGTGCTGGTGCTCCATTCCCCTCCTCTCCTTCCTGACGGGAGCTCTCCCAGCGGAGGGGAGCACGACAGTCTTGTAAGGAGGCTGGAGGCCAGGGAAGGGAGAGGGCGCAGGAACGGGTGCTCAGAGGCTCATCCGTCACACGGTCTGTTTTTGTCTGCTGACTCTTGTCGAGGTGATTGTGGGACACGAGCTTGTTTTCAGTAGGGCTCTGCCTGGGGATCCTCGGGCCTGGTATGCAGGCAGCGTCCTCTGGGAGAGATGCTCTAGGTGCTCGGTTAGACCAGGAATATGGGTGCCTGCGAAGCCTTTTATGTCAGAGTCCCCAGGAACTGCCAAACAGTATATTTGAAGGCAACGCCCATGCACAGCCAGCTGCACCCAGAGGTTAAGGACTCTCTCTCCATCGGGGCCTGGGCTGAAACAGAGCAGCCCTCACCCGCCGGCCACGTCCCTCCCCTCCACCCTTTCTCACGGTCTGGCTCGGAGCGCCAGTTTCCGGCTGTGGTCTTCGGTTACCTGAGGCTGTTGGGTGGGCCCTGGTCCACTATGACTGGGCTCCCTGTAAGAAAAGGAAGGGACACCAGGTTGCTCTCTGTCTCATGTGGGTCCAGCACTTGTACTGTTACACATTTTGGTTCCTTCTTTGGGTGTGGGTCCCTTGCTTTGAGGGATTTCCCTCACTTTGGGCTCAGATTTTTAAAAAGAAGAAAGCAAAAACACCATTGGCTGGCGGCTTGTGAAAATGCCCCAGCTCTGTGGCGTGCAGACTCTGAGCTGGCAGCGGACGCCCCGTGCAGCCGGTTTGCTCAACAGGAACTTCTCCAGGAAGTCTGGGGCCACCTTATACCTGTCACTCTGTCGCCCGACTTCTCGTGCATGGGACGGCAGGAGAGGGGGATGGTGTGAGGAC